TATTTGCTCAATTTTATTTAAAAGATTAGTTGCAGAATTCGGTTTTATTTGAATACATATTTTTCTATTTTGTTTGCAGCAGCGTCATGAAGCTGAAAAATTAAGTAGAAAATTCAAAATTAAAAAAAGCTTTGCTTTCAGCTCCAGAACGCTTATGAAAAAATTTGTTGTATGAACACTTTCATATAGCTACACCAATTTGAAAGCTTCACTTTGCTCGGAACGGCTTCGCCTGGTTCGGCTCCGCGTTCTGTGTGAACGCACCCTAATGCAATTTTTAAAGGTTTTGTAAGTAGGTTTTTCTAAAATTTGACACTCCCACCCACAGGGATATTTTTTGGAAGCAGGTGGAACTTCGAAAAAGGTAGCTAAATTCCAAAAAAAGTTCGCAGTAGGTAATGCTTTAAAACAAAAATGAATTTACATCGGATATAAGCCCTGATTGATATTAAAAATAAATATTTGTACGTATAGTATATGCCAAAGTTGCTTACGTCAGAAAGCGCATAGCTCGAGAATGTATTGTTCACTTTGAGCTTTTTTTTTTTTGTTGTATCATTTACAGTTGGTGAATATGAAGAAGTTATTTGTCTGTGGAAAAATTATGGACCTTGATTAAAAAAAAAAAACACAAAATAAAATCATTTGGTGCTTACGTTTCTTTCGCGGCTATGGCTCGATTGCTTCGAATATGACAACTCGAATTATTTGATGTTCTACTGTAGTGTTCGAGGGACATTATGCCGCTAACAGAATATCAAACATTGGCTAACATAGTCGCCATTAGCGATTCGTGCAGAACGAACTCAGGAAGAATGAAAAGGACACGCAGCCGCTGAACTAGCGCAAACCAAGTTACCGTGTGTTACGATTGGCGCCATGGGTCCGAATTGCCAGTATTATATTGCGCCAAAGTGCCATTCAGAGACATCATGATTGTGTTGTGTAGGTCAATGCTTAAATAACTTTTCGTTGACACATTTACCAGAACTATTGCGCGTTTTACTTTACAGCGACTTGGCAGAATAAATAGGGCTAGGGCTATTCGGGATCTTGCGCATATGCTCTTGCAATGGCATATTTGTTGCATTTGTAAGTTCACAACAATAAAATGCACATGGTTACCATGGCAGCAAGCATAAAATTTGCAAATGCAATTCCAACTGCAACTCCAAGACTATTTTCACAACATCCTGAACAGCCCTAATACGTTTTTCCGTTTCTTCATGAATGTCGGAAAAAACCAGAAGGGATTTTATTTTAATATCAATAATTAAAAAATAAAAAGACTAAACAATTTTATGCTTAAAAAAATTGAAAAGACATGAAGGAATCATATTATAAAATAAGAATAATGGTATCTTCGAAATCAAACGGTTCCTAACTTTTTCGCTAAGTCCTTTTGATTTAAAAATTTTTTGATTACAGTCTCTGATGCAAATAAAGTGATTTGACATGAAAAAAAGTATGTACAAATATTGAGCGAATTGTTTAAAAAATTTCATAGATAACGCTATAAGAACGCCAAGACACATAAACTTAAATAATTTGGGTCTACTTAGATTACGGGGTTTTTCTAAATATATATATAATGCATTTTAATTTTAAGTTTGCATTTTGAATGAAAACGAATTCAAATATTAACATGGAAAATGTTACGCATACGCCATGTGCGAGTATGGCCATTTACACGGCCCTAACATTCTTTCCTGCTCATATTTAATAAAAAAAAATCATTACGCATTTTTATTTTACCATTCACAATTTCTTTATTTATCCATAGATTTTCTTCGTTAGTCACTTAATTTTTTTTTATAAAAGAATATTATTTAACACAAATGAACAGAAAATGTACGAAAATTCTGTTATTTTTCTTTTTAATTTTTCCCTCTTAAATTTGAGCTTTCATAATAAAAACGAAAATATCTTAGGAAAATGGACTGATCTAGAAAAACATAGAATACAGATTCGTAATCTACGGCTCAAAGATAAGTTTACTTGTTTCGGCGTTTTTTTGTAATTTCAAGACTTAAGCTTTTCCCCACAGTGTAATTTCTGAAATAAAAGGAACTCACATTGTATTGGTCAATTTAACATTTTTGTTCCACGCAAGAGCAATTATAAATGCCATGCTTTTATGAGACTATAGCGATACAATTTACACCTCCACATGTACTACATTAGGCATATGACTTTTATATCTAAAATTCATTTTCCATCTACATACAAATATGTATTTTATTTCTCGGAGCTCCCTGTGTAAATTTTTTTTACAAAATTTTTGTTGGTTTTTCATCATTCCTTATGCTCTCCTCATGGGTAGAACATACATATTTAATTTTAGAAAAAAGTCCTATGCCTATTGTACATATGTACAGAAGTATGTAGGTATGTTTGTAGATATCTATGCATGAATACATGACGATCTTAATAAAAACTGACATCAACAGCAACAGCAATAATTATTAACAAGAATAACGGCACACTATGTACCTGATGTGCTCTTTGATGTGTACTTTATGGACATCAGCTGTGCAACACCTGAAGATCATTTGCGCCATCAATTATCAATGATATTAACAAATGTACACACCACAATCATAGGAAAGTACAAAAACATTCACTGGCAAAGAATTTTATTGGCTTCCGACGTCTGTATGTATTGTAAATACCTAGGTTTGTATATACACATACAGTGTGGAAGCGCAAGCGTACATACATACATATGTAAGTATGTATGTGCATATGCCTGCATTAAACTTCTACATATCTGGCATAGAATTGTTTGCAACTTTTATTGGAAATTTGTTTCAATTTAATGCCCGAGCTGCATTCTTTGCAATGCATCAGCGAGAGCCGGTGGCAGCGGCGATACGCAAATGTGCACATCAGCTGTTGCCTTAGCTTTTCCTGTGGCATGTTAAGCTGCATGCCGCCACACACCTAACACGTGTGCGCGACTTAAAAATACTTTTACTATAGGCGAGTGCATAAATGAATATAAATACGTACCGTCATATGTATGTATATACATATGTGCTTCTATAGAGTGAATATGTTTGTATGTAAATGCGCATATAAATAAGAAATTGTTTCTTAATTGAAAACAGCTGAGAGGCAGATGTATTTAGATATGGATTTTTACATGCCATTATAGGAGTAAAGATACTCACGGAATGCCTAGGCATACATACGTAAGTATGTATGTATGTATGTTTGCATGATTTGGTTTAAGTATGGATAAAAGCGTAGACTTCCGTATGTTAAATAGTATATATATATGTACTTAGTATTATGACAGCATGCCATTTGAATTTTTAGAATTACTTCATTTCTCAAATATAAAAATTTATACCAGATAAGAAGCATGACTTTCTAACTCAAAATATACATATATTAAAATTCGAAAAAGTATACAAATAAATTTGAATTCAATGGCCTTGGAATTCCTCACTCCTTCAGATACTCAAACCCTAGGTAAATATGCTACTCAGTGACAAGAACATCGATATACATATCTAAGGTTAATTATTGAGCCCTGGTTTAAGAACGAAACAGTAGAGAAGGACAGAGAATTCCGCTTAAACAACTACATATGTACAAAAGTGGGGTGGGTAAACCGCGGGCGAGTCCAGGGCTTCGGAGCGCAGCGGAGCAAAGGATTTTAGCTGGATCAGAGGACTAAAAAAATTAATTAGCTCCTTAGCTCCTTAAAGAAAAATTTACAGTTAATAATTTTACTTAAATGTTTTTTATTTTTTATTTTTTTTTTTTATATTTGCTATCGAAAACAACCACGCTAATTAAACTTCCATTATATTTGTTTTACTTTGCAATACTGTTCTTTGATCAATGACCAGCATAATCTGAGCCAGTATAACACTTAAATGGCTTATACTCAATGTTTTATTACAGTTTCAGACGTTTGCATTGATCCTAGAAAATTGTATTGACCTCAAAAGAGAAGAAATCATTTTCATACGTGTTATTCCTATGGGAAATATAAACTCTCCATGCGCGAACTCTTAGAATTATCGTTGAGAGGGGAGATTCATGGAGGATCATTACTATACCGAATACTAAAATCTTAGTTAGGTTCTGGTCGCATTGCAGGATTTTTGAAGTGAAATTTCTTCTACGAGTTCGGAGATTCTTGCGTTTAATATTTAACACCAAGTCATAAAATCTGCATCTGAAGATGATGAAGATGAAGATGAAGATGAAGATGACGATGAAGATGAAGATGCAGATGAAGATGAAGATGAAGATGAAGATGAAGATGAAGATGAAGATG